AAAAAAAAAGTTCTTCCCACCAAAGTCCTTGGCACTATCAAATGAGTCAACTTCAGAAAATGATATGATTTTATCAGTGGAAATAACATTAAACAAGCATGTACATATTCTTTGCTTCTGTACCCTAAGGACCATAGAATTTTTCCATCTGACTTGCAGCTAAAATCTTCCATATGTGTTGTTTCCCCTACTACAACCTGAAATCCTTGAGAAGGGGGACTGTCTTGCCTTTCTGTTTGTAACACCTGCACTTAGCATGGTGCTTTGCACATAGAAAGCCTTTAGCATAGACTTCATTCATTAATTCAAAAAGCATATTTCAATGATCCTAATTTCTTTCCCATAAAATTGGCAACCTTATCCCTAACGTTCCACTCCCCTACTCTTTACTTCATAAAAGAGAGAAAAAAGAAGAAAAATCTTTTTAATAGATTTGTGTTATCATGCAAACACTCACATTAGCTATATCCAAAAAATGCATGTTGCTCTATCAGGACATAGGTAGCCTGCTTCATGCTTCATAATCAATTCATTGGAATTATCATAATTGCAATGATCATAATTTTTAAGTCTTTCAAAGTTATTTGTCTTTACAATGTTGGGGGCATTATATAAATTGTTTTCTTGGTTCTGCTCACTTCACTCTGCATTACTTCCTGCAAATCTTCAAAATGTTCTCTGAATTATCCCTTTCATCATTTCTTGTGGCTAATAGTATTCCATTATGTTCTTATACTATCATTTCTTTAGCCATACCTCAATTCATAGGCACTCCTTTACTATCCAGTTCTTTGCCACTACAAAAACAACTGCTATAAATATTTTTGTATAGACAATTTCTGTTCCTCTTTCTTTGATCTATTTGTGGTATAGGCCTAACAGTGGTTTCTTTGGGTCAAAGGGTCTGTACAATTCAGTGAATTTGGGGGCATAGTTTGAAATATCTTTGAAAAATGTCTATATTACTAGCTGTGTGACCCTGGGCAAGTCACTTAACCCCAATTGCCTTAAAAAAAAGAAAGAAAGAAAAAATGGCTACATTAATTCACAGCTCTACCAACAAAATGTTGATGTATCTATTTTCTAGTCACTCATAAATTTTTTATTTTCTTATCATATTTCATTTATTTTTTAGAATTGAAAGAAACCATGAGATATCATCTAGTCCAAAACCCTTAATTTCAATTTAAAAACTGAGATCCAGAATTTTAATGATTTGCTCAAGATCATAAGGCAACATAGTAGCAGAAGCAGAACTCAAATCACATTTCAATCATTTCTACTGAACAACATTTATATTTATTGTCACTGATTCTTTAGTGACAGTAAATTTCACCCAAGTGATATTTGACCATCAAAGGGATCCCATAGTATGTTTCCTCTTATCAGAAAAATTGTAATATAAAACTACTATGGTTTATCTAAAACTGCTATCAGAAATAAATCAGTCCTATGGCTATCAAAAATAAAGTATACTGCAAGGATCAGGTTGGTTACTCATTTCACTAAGACTGAATTTGTTTGTTGCATATACTTTATTTAATAAGTTTACCAAAAAAAAATCTTCATCCCTTAAATCTTGGAACCACATTTGAGTATTTTGTCCTAAAAAAAAAATCCTTGGTAACATGGCTAATCCACATGAGAGATTGTTGTACTAAGTATAGTACTAAGAATACTTTTCACAAATTTTCAAATTATGAAACCTCTAGGCCTCTGTATCAATAGACAATTTTTATAAAGAAAAATTTGCAAACAAAAATTTTGTGTGTGTAGTTATTACAAGTAATTAATATCTCCTGATTAAAGATTTATCAATTTAGATCAATATAAGAAGTTAATTAGAGTATATTCACCCTCACTTAAATGCTATTAAGAAACACTACTTCAGTATCTTTCTTCTAATTTGTCTAATTTCATAGATTCTGTTCTAGCCCTCTATCATTCTCTCTCTCTCTCTCTCTCTCTCTCTCTCTCTGTCTCTCGCCACCCCCCCCTTTAACTAACATTATTCTAAATCTGGATTGTCCATTACCTCAACTTTCAGTTTTTCATAACATGATGTGAAAGGAGAATTTTTCGCTTGTGGGAGAAGGCTAAGTTTTTAAAAGAAGCACATTTGGTATAGTTTAAATGGCAAATGGGTTTTTAACACCTGTACAGTTACTTTGATGTAAAATGCATACTGTGTGTTATATGAATTGTTCATAACCCCTTTTGTTTTCTGATGTACAGAAGGAAAAAGAAATGAAGTAAGTATTGGTCAGAGGATCAGAATTTTTTTCCCCTTTGTGCTAATAACTTACTTGAATTGGATATGTATTTGATATCATAGGGTTGCCATCTAGTGGTTTAGAAAGAACATTTTAGTTTAAAAGACATTTTCTGTAATTAGGTATTTTGTTCAATCAACAAATTATATAATCAATTGCTAGATTACTTTTTAAAGTGTTATTTACAAATGAAAGGCATTGTATTTTCTATGATGTGAGGTCTACAAAACATGTATTTTTACACTTAAAAAGTATACTAGACCTAACTTTTCAGATTCAAATTTCTAAATGACAAATTTCGTAAGATGGTCAAAATTAAATCAAGTAATATTAACTGTGGATTTGAAAATGTAAACTTGTTCTAGAATTTTGAAATATTAAATGTTTACAACAGCTATCTAAAATTTAAACTTCTTCAGAGCCTGCCTTATTCTTGACTTTCCATTCTTACAATTTGCCCATCTCCACGTGTTCTGTGATCAATACTTACTGGCCTACTTGCTGTTCTTCTCTTGGTTCTGCACCTCCTGGCTTCCCTGGCTTCCTTCAAGGCTCAACCAAAATCTTATCAATCTTCTACAGGAAGCCTTTTCCAACCCCACTTAATCCTAATGCCTTCCTTCTTTTAATTATTTCCTATTTATCCCATATAGAACCTGCTTGTATATATTTGTTTGCTAGTTGTTTCCCCATTAGTCTATGAGCTACTGGAGGTCGGGGACTATCTTTTTCCTCTTTGTATCCACAGTACTTAGCACAGTGCCTGGCACATAATAGGCCTTAATAATTGGTTATTGACTGACTGGATGACCTCCTCTCATACAATTCCATCTCCAATTCTTTTCATTGATTGTCTCCCATGCTTATAATATTCTTCTCTTATACCTCTTGGGTTCCTTGATTCAGTTTTCTTAAAGATTTAGCTCATATTTCACCTTCTACTGGAAGCCTTTCCAGGTCTTCTGATCTGTTATTGCCTTCTTTTCTCAGTTGACTATCCATCTACTTTGTATATTTCTATGTTGTCTCCCTTATTAGAATGTGAGGTCCTTGGAGGCATGTACTGTTTTTGTTTTTTTTGTTTTGTTTTGTTTTTATTTTCAGCATTAAGCTCAGTAATTGGAACTTAGGAAAAGCTTAATAAATGCTTGTTGACTGACTGAAAAACAAAGAATGGCAACATAGCCAAGATAAAGAAGAGACAGAGACAGACAGACAGACACATACACACAGACAGAGGCAGAGTCATAGACACAGAGAGATAGAGACAGAGACAGAGATGCAGAGAGACAGAGACAGAGAAGAAGTGAGGGATGGAAAGAGGTGAAAGAAGGAAGCAAGGAAGAAAAGAAAGAAAGGAAGGAAGGAAGAAGGAAAGAAATAAAGATGTGTGAAGGAAAGAGCTTTAGGAATTGTTATTCAATGGAAAGAGTGCTACATTTAAAGTTGAAAGGCCTGAGTTTGAATGTCATCCTTACCAATAATTATTTTTATGGTATTAAGTAGCAAATCACTTAACCTTAAACCTTAGTGTTCTTATGTGTAAACTGAGGGACTGAATTAGATGACCTCTAAGGTCCCTTAAAAATCAAAATCTGTTGTGAGTGTGGAAAATATTACCTAACTAAGCCTGGAGTACAGAATTTGCTGACTGCAAATCTGTAAAGATAACATTCAAATTGAATACGGCATTTGACATTGGATAAGAAAAAAAATCACAAAAGAAGAAGCGGAAACTTTTGAAAAATTGTTCACTCTTGTTCATAAATAAAGCAAAATATAGCAAATATATAGTAACAAATTCTGACATATAAAGTTAAAAATAAATTTTAAAAAATTTATCAACAGAAAACCCTTACCTATCTTCACATATCTTTACATAGCTAAATGACGACAGCAGCAACAAAAACAAAATTTCACAGACTTTTGTGTAAGTTTCATTTTCATTTCAGTTTTTATTAGAATCATCTCAGTAAGACAATAGAACTAATGAGAACAAGTTACCCATAATCCCCCAGTGGAACAATTATCCAGAAACACAAAATGTTTGATTTCCTTCACCTTAAAAGACTACAAAAGAGAGGCTAGTATGAAAAGCTATTGACCATATAATCACTCGTAGAGAAATAGTTATAATAACAATAATAAACATAATACAACTCTGCTTCAGGACATTTTCTATTTGAATCTCATTGAAAAATATTATAAGAATCAAACAATACTATTGCTGCCAATAATAATAATAATGATTAACATTATATATATTTATATGTCTGTATATATGCATGTATCCAGTACCACACAATGTTGTTTCATATTCTTAACCTTGAAAGGCTTCAAAAGAAGGGTTAGTATGAATAACTCTTTAGTATCTATCTTTCTATCTATCTACCAATCAATCTGTCTAGCTAATCATCATATATGTATATATATATATATATATATATTCAATATAATATATATGCAGATAGATTAATAAATACACATACATATATCTACACTCTTGGCTTTTTCATGTAAATATATACACACACAGTATGTGTGTATGTAAAGTACACATTTATGTGTGTATTTGTATACATCCATATATATTTATATAATATCTTTTGCATAAACCTATATATGTGAGAATTATGGTATATGTGAATTATTTTCAAAACCTACAGCACATTGTCTATTAAGCAATGGGAATATATTGACTTGTCTTTCCCTTTTCTTTTTATGTAGGAAGTGAGCTGTTTTCTGGACTCTACAGTGACTACTGGGGAAGAGATGCTGCTGTCTTTCGTAGCCTGGGCCGTATGGCTCATATTCGGACTGAGCATGATGATGAGCGTCTGCTAAAAGGTACAGCTGAACACAGTACTCTATTGGGGTAAAAATGTTAATAGTTAGTATAATAACTATAGAGATCAGAAATAGATTTTTGATACAAGTTCATTCTTTGTATTAGAGTACCACTTCAAATTCTCAATGGACTGTCATGAATCCTCTAGCATTTTCTGAATATCCCAGGATCTCAAAATTGCAAAATAAGAAGAGACCTCAGAGGTCATCTTGTCTACCCTATCCCTGAAAAATAATCCCTTCTGCAAAATGTCAGACAGATTTTCATGCAACCTGTGCCTGAGACATTGGTTCCTCTTTTCCACAATGACAACCTATTCCACTTAGGAAAAGCTCTAGTTATTAGGAAATTTTTCTTTACATGAAGCCTAAATCTGCTTCATGCAACATCCATGTATATCCAGACCTATATCTATATCCATATCCACATATGTATCTTTATATCTATGTCTGTAGCTATATATCTCTACAATTATTTATATGTATGTATGTCTGCACCTTTACATAAACACATACATACATATACACACAAAGCCAAGCAGCAGAATGCACAAGGTACTGGGCCTGAAGTCAATTCTAGCCTCAGACAGTAGCTATGTGACCCTGGGCCAGTCACTTTTTGCCTCCATTTCTTCCTTTGTAAAACGAACTGGAGAAGGAAATGGCAAACCATATCTTTGTCAAGGAAACCAAAGATGGGTTTATGAAGAGTCAGACATGACTGAAACGATTGAACAATACACACACACACACACACACACACACACACATACACAGCCATACAGCTACTAAGAGTATGAGACCAGATTTGAACTCGTGAAGATGAGTCTTCCTCACTCTATGCATTGTACTCTTTCTATTGTACCACTGAGCTTCCTACACACACACAGAGACACACACACACGTAGAAATTCTGATTATATAATATTATGCATTATGCCATGCATAATATGTGTATATATCTTGATTCTTTAAAAGAAGTTAAAATTTAAAATAAGGATAGTATATATACATACATATATACACACATACATACATACATACAAATTCTATCTATTTATATATTATACATCTTGTCACGTGTAATATACATATATGTCTTGATTCTTTCAAATAAGTTGTTACAGACACTATAGTAGGTTTATTACCTCAGAAATGCATATTGTGAAGCTATATTCAGAGGGCATTAAAGCAGTGAATTGAAATGTTAAAAACACAGACACACATAGCTACTTAATGAGTTGTTTTATCCACATTTAACCATCAGTGTGTTTTTGCCTTACTGAATTGGCTATATATTTACATCAGATAGCTAGCATTTTATGAAGTCATGTTATATTTTAGAAAGGAATACCATTCTAGGAAATACCTTCAACAATTTTTAGATATAGTATTTAAATGTAATAATTAATATCTTCACATATTATCACATGAAATTATATTTTATGTTTAATATAAAAAATCACTTTCCAGAGATTGTTTCCATAAAATGTTATCACGTTTTTAAGTCTGACTGATATTATAAGGTTCATCAAATGTGCCATCTAAAGAAAAAAAAAACTCACACAAATTTCCTAGATTATAAAAGCCTCAGGACATTATACATTATTTTCATTTTAGAACAAAATTATTTCTTCACGTTACCCACTGGGGAAATATTATATGAATATAAAGGAAAGTAATGTTGTACTATAGCTAAAAATGCATTCACTGCAATAAGGTCAATTTTTATTAAATAGAAGGAGGAATACTAGTTGTTCCACGGTCAATGTTTCTTATTTTTCCCACCTTTGGTATATATTCCTAACTTTTTTTTGGTTATTCCTAACTTTTGATCATGAATTCTTAACCACACCTCCACTTGTTCAACTAGACATCTTTTATTTCTTCTTTAATATTTCAGAATGATTTGCTTCTGAGGGTTATAGTTCTCTTCGTAGATATTTAAAATGGAATGTAAAAACCTCCATCTTCAGAACACTTTCTTTCTCAATGAAATGATGAGTCTATCATTAGCTTTGATTTTTTTCTTATTTATTGGAAAAGGAGATTTAAAACAAATTTTAAAAGATTTAATGAAATCACTCTTTTTTACTTTTCTAAAGAACCTAAGTTTGTAGGTTCTTATATGATTCCTGACAATGAAGACCGGGATGACAACAAAGTATATTTCTTCTTTACTGAAAAGGCACTGGAGTCAGAAAACAATGCACACACAATTTACACAAGAGTGGGAAGAGTATGTGCGGTAAGACTTCCATTACTGTAACATTGTAAGCTTGGTTGCTGCAATATTTATTTTTAAAAAAACTTACTAAAAATAGAATATTGTGTCATCTTTAAAAGCATTTTTGTTAGACTGGCACTAAATTGGTATTTGTTAGTTTGATAGTTTTACTTAATATAAAGTGAAACAATGTTAAGTGGAAATAATTATTATTTTATGTCTTTCCAATTAAAGAAATACATGTCAATAAACTAAGTATATTTAATATGATACCTACACATATGAAAAAGTTTGGCTGAATTCAGTTTTTATAAATGAAATCTTACAACCATTTTTTTATTCACTCTGAGTCTATCAATGCTTCAAAAAAGCAATTATTTTTTTCTGGTGGAATAAAAAGGATCCATAGTTTCCTCTAATACAGCTTAGTAGATATCTTTAATAGTTACATGGATTTGGAGCTTAAAATGATCATAGTTTCATAGAACTAGAGCAAGTAAAGACTAAGACTTTAGAGTTCTTTCAGTCCAAGCTCTTAGTTTGCAGATGAGGAAGATGAGGGGCAGGGAAGTGTACTGACCTGCCCAAGGTCACACAGGTAGTAAATTTCAGAGCTGAGATTTGATTTGATTCTAGATTCTGCATTACCAATGTACCACACTGCCCTTCTCATGATTTGTAGAGACTATAATCACCTTGGGGCCAAATATTTCTTGATAAGCTTCTCTGAACTTAGAAAGACAGGTACACACACACACACACACACACACACACACACACACACACACATATTGCTTTACTAGGACCATATTCCAAATCTTTCCTGTTTGTCATAAGACCTATCAGAGTAAGTGATCTACTGACATGATCTTGGAGAAACCAGAGTTATATCCACAAAGTGCCATGGGAATATTACTTTAGGAGAGGTTTGTATTCCCATCCTGACAACTAATTCATGAGAATATTGGTTTGCTTGTCAGTTGGTTATTTCCATATCATGTATAATCCATAGTTTAGTTTGAATCAGTATTACTATGGGTATTCAGAAATCTATACACTTTAAAAGAGTTCATCTGGAACATTTCAAAATGAAGTGTCGGTATACCTTGAAAGTTATTTGTCTTATAAATGTCCTTAATTTTGCCAGTAGACAAACTAATGTCTATCTATGAGATATGCCTTCTCAACCTTTGATGATTTTGAGAGATTTTTTACTTGAGTTTATAACTTTGATTATGAAGTAAAAAAAAATAACACATTAAGTACTTACCACATGCCAAATGCTATGTTAAACAATCAGAATATAAAGATATGAACAAAATCATCTCTGCCCTCTTACATTCTAATAGGAGAAGACAACATATATGAGGAACTAGAGTTGGAAAGAGGAAGGGGTTGAAACTAGGGCAGCCTGGTTCTGGAAAAGAAAAGGTAAAAGTTTACCAATCAGAGCTTATGGTTCTAGGAATGGGGATATTTCATCAGGGATTGTTTTTTGTAACCTGTTTAACTTATTAATGCTGAAAATGTGGGTTTGAGCACTCTAAATGATATGGCTTATCTTTTGAAAAGCCAATTTTTTTAAATGGAATATAAAGTATTAGTGAGCTAAACTTAAAAGAATGCTAAAGTCAGCTGTTGATTTTGAAGTCAGAGTACCTAAGTTCAAACCCTGACTCTATCACTTACTACCTATGTGACCTTGGGTAAGTCATGTAACCTATTTCGTTCTTAATTTTCTCATATGTAAAATAAGGGAGTGGAACCAGATGTCCTCTTAAATCCCTTTCAGAATTAAATCTATGGTTCTCTTTGATTGAGAATTTATCACTTTGAAAAAGAGAGATAAATTCTTAGGAAAGATGAAGTTGGTCCCCCTGCCTCAAGTCTCTAACCACTCTAATTTTCTAGCCATGGGTCTATTTGGTATCTTCTTTACATTTCTGCACAATTTTCACTGACAATATGTTACACCCTGAAACTCAAGCCTGCTGTGTAAGTCTCTATTGCCCTTTGGTTGATCCGCAGCTTTAATTCTTTAGAGACTATGGTGTATCGTCACTTTCAGATATATGACATCACCATAAGAATATGGATATGTTTTTGTTTCAAGGAAAAGCTTAGGATAATTAAAAGCACCACATAACTCCACACCATTCTCTTCCTTCTATATAATTCTGAGTCAGGTTCATTGTTCCTCATAAACACTTTCTATGAGTTGTCTTTCCAACTGTATATCATAGTCTGGACAGTAGGCATTCTATTTTTTCTTGTGTAGATTGGCTAAACCTTTTTTGCATGATTATTGATTAAATCATTTAAAAGGCTCAGTAATGTCTTGTATCTTGGTTTAATCAGAAACATGTCACCCACAAATGGGAACATTTATTCACCCCCTACAGGATTTTTTTTTTCCATTTATACTCTTCCCTAGACATACTCCATAATGGTGGTAAATAATTTAATAATCAGTGAGTCTTTCTAGTTCTCACTATTGTTACATCATTCAAGAAATCTTGCCTTATTTTTGTAAATTCCTATGATATAAATCATTTTATGCTTGCATTTGTGCTTACATTTTGCTCATTGAACATTTTTTTAAAGTCAGAAAATAGTAAACATAATGGGATCTTGTATTTTCTTAACCTTTTAGTAAATTTGTGATAGTATAGATGTAGGTTACTAAAGAATACAATTTGCAAAAAATCTGAGTTCCCTTCTCATACTTCGACAAGGAATGCACTCAGTGAATATTTCATTATTCTCCTAAAGGTTTCATGGTGATAGTAATGTGCATGTAGTTATATGCTTATTAATTTTTTAATCTATCACCATTTTTTAGAAGTGATAAACTCTATGATTGCTACCAAGCAAGTGAAATTCCTTGTTTTCAATATATTGAGAACTGATCTCTTAATATTAGCAAATTGTGTTGCCACTACCAAAGAGCTTCTTTGTGTATAGTTAATCCAGTCCTAGACCTCAGTCTCCTCACCTGTAAAATTACTTCAACCACAACAACAACAACAGCAACTCCTTTAAATTCCTTACAACTCTTAAACTATGATACTTAACCTTTTCATTTATCCTCATTAAATTCCATCTTATTTGCTTCAGTCTGACATTAGGCCATTGTGATTTCCTGGTGTCTTGAGATTGTCACTCAATTATTTAATTAATCTTTCTAATGTCCAGTCACTTGTGAATTTGATAAGCTTATCTAACTCATTGATAAAAATGCTAACTAGTATAAGACTAAAGACAGATTTCTTGGACGTCTAACTGGAGACCATGGGGTTTTCTTTTCTAGATGCTAGAGTGGTTTGCCATTTCCTTCTCCAGTGGATTACATTTTGTCACAATTATCCACTATGATCTGTCCATCTTGGGTAACCCTGCATGGCATAGCTCATAATTTCATTGAACTATGAACACCCTTCCACCATGTGAAGGCAGTGATCAAGTTTAAATATTTGACCACATGATGAGAAGACAGGACTCATTGAAAAAGATACTAATGTTGGAAAGAATTAAAAGCAAAAAAGGAGAAGGGAACAGCAAAAGATTATTTGGATAGACACTGTCATACAAGCAACAAACATGAGCTTGGATAGATTTTAGGAAACAGAGGAGGATAGAAGAGCCTAGCATGCTATGATCCATGGGATCACAAAGAGTCAAACATAACCAAATGAATCAACAACAACAACAACAACAACAACAACAACAACAACAACAACAACA